CATATATAAGAACCTAACGTACCGCAACTATATGAGCGTTTCCCCTATTTGTATTTCATTAGGTAATCTAATTTTTCAAAGATTTGATAAAATAAGATATTTAGGAGATATTCTAGATTCTAAATTAACATTTGTGGATCATTAAAACACAATAATTCCTAGAGCAGGCAATATGCTTAATTTTAAAAAGTGTTTTGGTTTCCACTTTAAAGATCCTTGCACAATTAAAACACTTTATGTTGCCTATGTGAGGCCAATATTAGATTATTGCAGTGTTGTCTCCTTTTATGAAAAGGCATGAAGAACCAAAAGAGTCAATCCAAAATCAATTTTTATAAAATGCATCATGTAAATTGGCATGTACAGCATTTCCTCTCCCATCTTATGAAGCACGTTGCATGTTAATCAACTTTCAGTCATTGAAAAAGCGTCGGGATTATGCTATGGCCATCTTGATGATGACTGTTTATAATCTACATTGTGAAATTAGAGACCTAAATGTTTTTTTTTTTTTTCACTTGGTTTGTTTTTTCCGTCCATCTTGTTTTCCGTGCTGAGCACCAATGCTACCGACGTGCCAGGAAGGCAGCTCCCACACCTGGACCCTACCTATTGACCCATCAACTCATGAACCGGGGACCAACGGCTTTACTTCCCTTCGGAAGGCGTGATCAGAGATGTTATGCCTCAGAACATCCCGGCGGCGCTGACTGCGATTGAACCCAGGCCTGCTGGGGTGAGAGGTAATCACGTTTACCACTACACCACCGGCGCCGTTAACCTTTCCCTGTTGTATTTGATGTTTTGGACGCTAGATAAGAACCTCCTTTATCAAACTATGTGGTAGAACTAGCGCAAAATCTGTTTGCACAGCGGAGGTTATGAAAAGAGAATGTCGATGAAGAGAATCGATCAAAGCAGCTAGGGCCATTTGAAATGTTGATCGAGATTTAGCCTTCCACAACATTCAGGGTAATGACAGACGAGTGGTGAACATGCAGTTCTAATACACTCAAAGTTCATGGTTCGAGCATGACCTGGTTGCTGCTGCACTTGAGTTCTCAGCACGGAAAACAAGATCGACGGATAAAACAAACCAAAGGAAAAAAAAACAGGGAAAGGTTTTGCAGCTGAGTTATTGACGAAAGAGAAAGTCTATGAAGAGAATCGATCAATGCAGATAGGACCTTTTGAAATGTTTATCTAGAAATGTGATTTCGTCTACCCTTTCAGTTGCAACATTTTAACGCGATTGGTCAGATATGATTCAAGTCATTTGAGGAGTTTGGTCTGGATTCGCATATTTTGCAATTTCAAAAGAAGCATTGGTATGTCGACGCGATCAAATGCTTTGCTGAAGTATGTGTACAAAACTTCTACATGTTTTCCATTATTCGAGTAAATTTGTGGTCGTCGAACAACCTTTAAAGAAGTCGTGTTGCATAGTAGTAATTTTTTACCAAACTAAAAAATAGGCACTAGAAATGAGCTGTTCCATATATACTAAAATAGTCCTGAAATTAAATAATAAAACAGCTCCTAGACCTACTTTGAAATGACATAAATAGTAAAAATGATATTAAAATTCAAAAATGGTTTGTTTAAGGTGATTTTCTGAAGAATCCACAAGTGGCCAAGTCATGTTGGCTGATATGCCCTTTCACTTCAAGTTTTCCAGAGAATAAATTTCGAACATTGTTGCAACAACGCTCATGAAATCAAAACTCCTAGTTTGCTGCACTGCAGCAAACACGGAGTTCCAATTTCGTTGTTGGATGTTTTGTGAGAATCGATATTTATGCTCTTGAAATTTCGCTTCCTCACCTTAAGTATAAAAATATTGGAATACTTGACGTAGCTTTTTAATAACTGGAAATTCAAGTTAATTCACTAGAAAAACAGTTTAAACCAATAGCTCAACTTCGATTATTCTACTAGATTTAAATTTAAATTGTACATTAACATTGGAAACAAATCTTCATAAAATTTAAAAATAGGGGAAATGTCTCTAATGTTGGCCTATGGATCTAAGATTGGGCCAATCGCTAAAAATCTGTTATTTATCAATTTTATCTAGATGAACGCGTTATTGGGACGTTACTAATGAATATTTTTGGATGCTATTGAAAATTTAGTCGATTGCTGAAATTATGTATGGGCCCAAATTAGGGACACTTAGGCCGACATTACCTGCATTTCCGCTTCATTGGAAATGTTATAACCAAGTTATCTTTTTTTTTTCCTTGATTTGTTTTCCGTCGATCTTGTTTTCCGTGCTGAGCACCAATGCTACCGACCCATCAACTCATGAACCGGGGACCAACGGCTTTACTTCCCTTCGGAAGGCGTGATCAGAGATGTTATGCCTCAGAACACCCCGGAGGTGCCGACTGGGATTGAACCCAGGCCTGCTGGGGTGAGAGATAATCACGCTTACCACTACACCACCGGCGCCGCTAACCAAGTTATCTGAATTTCTGCAACCCATCGATAAGCATTCATAATTCCGGATAATGCAGGATATTTAAAGTGAAAATTGTTTATAACAATGTTATGGTAAGATAATGAAAAGAGAGGAGATGTTTCTCCATATAAAATCTTCACCATACCAGAAAATGACGATTTTTTTAAAGTTATGATAAACCATTAATTTGAGTGATCTGATTATGAATTGTGTAATTTTTGATGCTATTGTTTGCATTGATTTGATTGATTTTATTGACTTAATTATTTATTCAAACAAATTAAATTTTAATAGGTGTCGGAAATGTTAGCATTAAAAACTTCTTTCTGCATCATGAAGTCTTTTTTAACATGGCAGCGAAAGGCCAACTCTTAAACACCTATTGGATGTACACCATGTCCTATTATTTTCACTTGTTCAAGTTTGCTGACACCAGAAAAGTGTTTAAAAACCCATTATGGTAGAGGAAATGCCGGTAAACTTATCGTCACGCAAACTTTATAACTTTATTTACCTCCGGACGATAATAGGTATAATAATTAACGGAGGCAGCTTTTTCACTATTGAGAGGTTATTGATTTTATTTGACAAATCACTAAAATAGCAATATATAGTTCACTCAAATTTTGTTAATAAATAGTTAATAATTTAATCCTACCGGGATGGATGAAAATATCCTAGCCATAAAAATTATGATCTTGATATCAAAAAATGATATGCATAAGCATGATATAAGAGGTAAAATTTCAAGAAATTATATCTGAAATTTGTGTGTTGAGTACTTGACACTGATGAAGTCTGAAAGTAGTAGACAAAATACGCGTATCTGTCAAAAGATAAGCAATAATAACGGAATTAAAAGGAAAAAAATCAACACACTCAAAAAGCTCTTCATAAAGGGATTCCGTTAAGAGGTTCGACAAAATTAAAATACTGATCTGAAATTTGTTCCTGCAATATCGTTCAAATATAAAATATCAATCGGTATCGATATCAAACCAATAGTAAAGTACTAAAGTTTAAGTTTTTGTTTGATATGCAAATAGCAGGATTTGAAATGGTATTCGGCATGCAATTTTTTTTGGAATTGTTCCATTATATTAATATGTAATGCTAATTCATATCAACTTTAGATATCAATAGTTGAAATTCTACTATTTCAAAATAGTTATAATTTTTGATAAGCTTTCAAATAAACATATGTTTAAAAATCTTAAAAAATTTCCTTATTTTTATTTGAATATTTTTTTATTTATGATGAAAAAAAATTTCAGTGTGTATTTTTTCTGAAAAGGCAATCCAGTTTCCTACAACTTTCAATCAGACTTGTAGCGTATTTTTCTACATGACTGGTCACCCTGAAATTTCACGAATTTTATGCACCTTCCCTAATTAAGCAATCTCTCTCTCCCTAGAACATGATGAACAGCTAGTTTCTATCTTCCTACCAAATCCTCGCATTTTTCCTACCCTACCCGTCTCAACCCAAAGGCGAAGGACAATTCTCACGTAACAATTGAAAAGGGCCTATCCTATTTCGCGAATAACCCGACTGCAAATGAATTTCCCATTCAGTGTGTTGGTTCAGGCGCAAGCTAACATCATTTTCTGTCGAACTGTGCTGCGAGCTTAGCGAGAAATTCATTTACATTGCCGTGGTAAACCAAAGAGAAAGTCGATGAAGAGAATCGATCAACAATGATAGGCCCTTTTCTCGTGTTGCCCGAGAATTCTCGGGTTAATTTTCAAATAGACCAATCTACATTGATCGATTCTCTTTATCGACTCTCTCTTTCGTTAATAATTTTGCTGCATTCATATTGCGTGCTAGTTTTTCTCTATAGCCTGTTAAAAGAAAATATTACTAAGCGTATTGGACAATAAAAACAGCTGACCATGTTTTTGGAGTCGAGCTATTAACGAAAGAGAGAGTCGATGAAGAGAATTGATCAATGTAGATTGGTCTATTTGAATGGTGACGAGAGAATTGTCTCATCTGCAGGAGAGCGTGTCGCCTGAGCCAACGATATTATAACCGATACCTAAAATAAACGAGTTTTTCCGGTCGTAGTCAAACCGTACAATAGCGGGGACAACTATATTCATTTATCAAAAGCCTAAATTTGTGCTACTTTCGTTGAATCACAAATCCGAACTGATTCATGTTTGCGGCGTACTTTCGTAAAAAAAAAACTCAATTTCGCAAACAAACTATAGCAAAACGTAGAGGAATCATTCCTCTACATGATAGTGTTGTTACTTACGAGATTGAGCATATATTCGCATTTTGGTGTTTGTTCTGCATTACGCCCTAATCACTTATTTTCCCGGAAATGTGTCTTTTCCTGAATTTGGTGAATCCCCATCAAGAGTTCAAGTTCAGCACTAAACCGCTCACGCATGTTATTTGACCACCGCGTGAACAATTTGCATTCCAACAGTTTTGAATCATTTACAATATTTTCAAGTTGACCACTTTAAAGCATTAATGCACTTTTTCTGGTTTTTAATTTATTTACACAAAAAAAATACATACCTGGAGGTGTATATGTTTGCTCCGATACTGTTGTAGAGCCACCTGTACTTTCTGCAATGATGCCACTAACTTGCCCGGGATTCTGATTGACTGAATGAATTATGTTTGATAAGATCATAAATTAATCTTTAATTGTACTATCCTGTACGTACCTGTTGGTGAAATTGCAATACCGGGTGAAAACTTTTGCGCAGGCCATGCTGAAGTCATGGAAAGCTCTAAAACTAAAAGCACCAGAATGCGAAACCACGCCAGAGACATTTCTTACCTCTTTCGACAAGAGACGCTGTTGCGAGGTGTCGCTGGTGACTTGAAATATCACACTGATTCGAGCCGCCTCAATTTCAAGTTTCATGCTTCATGTGGAAACCATATTTCTGGGATGAATTTTTAATGATGTGATATGATCAGTGATGCCATCGTAAATTTAAAACTGTAACCCACTAAGAATTACCCGTTGCGCCATTGTAGGAAATATGAAATAATAATGTTTATCTTCAATAACTGGTTACCCTGAAGGGCTACCAGTTCTAACCACAATGACATCACTGGATATCAGCAAATTTGAATGTGGTAATGTGGCAAACGAATCTAATGTGGGTGGCCCTTGAGAGTAAACTGAAAACTCAATTTGATATACATTTTTCCTGTTGATAACAAAACGATTACTCAATTTGATGTTCTGCAAAGGCAACAAAAACTAAACTGCAACAACTTTTTCAGTTGTTCATTTGCTGTAAAAAGACACTACTGGAAATAAAAAACAACTGCAAATTTAGGTGTCAATCAAAAGTACAGCAAAATGAAAACAAAATTTGATATAATATTTGTCAATCGTAATTTGAAATTAAATTATGATTTCAATTTGATGTTGACATCAAAATTTGGTTTCGATTTGCTATCATTTTGATGTTGAACTTTGCTCGGGTTCTTATCCGCGGTTTTTGACTTCAAAGAATAGCACCGGCAGAATTAATTGATTTTGTTAGATAAGCGTAATTAGCCGGCGCCGGTGGTGTAGTGGTAAGCATACTGCTTTCTCACCCCAATGGGTCTGGGTTTAATCACAGCCGAGGTCGGTGGGATTTTTCTGAGGCATAAAAATCTCTGGTAACGTCTTCCTTCGGAAGGGAAGTAAAGTCGTTGGCCCATGTGTGTTGATTGGGTGCGATATTCCTACGCAGATGTGGAAGCTGCCTTCCTGCACATTTGATTGCCGTCAATGGATGGCAATCGATGTCCTCCGGTTATTGGCACTAGATTGCGGAACAGAGACCGACGTTAAATAAAGGAAAAGATAAGCGTAACGCATGAGGTCGGGTAAATTTCGAAAATATTTTAACGCTCCTGTTTATTCGCTAGGTACCGTAAAACGAGGTGAAGTTGATCATTTAGTTTTTCACTAAGCCGTTAAATTTTCGTTTTTCAGTAATTCTTTTCATATTGATATTGCTATATGGTAATTTGTTTAGTATTTCATTAAATAGTTCAAAATGTTACTGTTGAAAATTTTCCTAAGCACTGTAAACGTCCAATTTTGTTGGAGTGATACAATATGCAACATCCTAAACATCCTACCAGAACTAGCATATGTGCATCAGTGCTTGTTCGGCGAAATTACTTACTTTACTTAATTTTGGGTCACTGAATCCAAATCTAAACTCAGATTTTGTTAAAATGAACGATTCATTATCATAAAAATGTGAAACTGGTGGTATGTCAATGATAGGAAATATAGCGAATTTTTTACTATTTTGCAATAGAATATGCAATTTTTGCACAAAACATTAACTTTGTTGAAATTTTTAATCCAGATTCTTCATCAGTGAACACAAATCAAGCATTGCATAAAAACAAATATATTATAATAACAATATGATCCACTCTTTCGCTTAGCTGGCTAACCGAATTTTTAGCGATGAAAGCACCTCTGTGGCCAAAAAGGCTACCAATGTATTTTTATCGTCACGAGGGGTAAACCAAATGAAAAATTGTTTAATATTTAAAATGAATATATTTCAGCATTTTATTTTATTTGATGACAACAGTAACATGTCAGACAAATTTTAAAGTAATATACACAATGTAATTAATAAAAATAATTTGACTCTTACTTTTGTAATAAGTGCTATATTGGCACCCCTCGATTGTAATTGAATGATTGTTGCTGACCTTTTTCAATGCTAGATGGTGCGTGAAGCAATATTTTGCGGGTCGCCATTGCAACATTTGGAAAAGACATGAATGGTTCATATTCTTAATATGATATATTTGATAAAAACCTTCATGATCAACTTCAAACCAGAATTGATGATTAGCATTTTTAATCCAATTTTAATTCTAAAAACTAAACCAAGTATGCAATTTTGAAACTAAGTTCCTACATTAGAAAAGCATTTGCTACTACATATTTGAGTGGTATTTGTTTGTGCGTCAAACATATGGATGGAAAAATCTCCAGGCTATCGGTAGATGGTGATCCATTTCTCCCTGTTTTATAGTTCCTATATAATGGGTATAGAAAAAGTGAAAATTTGCACTTGGTTTAGTATATTATCAAGTGGTAACATAAATCGCTGTGGAAGCCTTGTTTCTGATAGATCTCATTATCACTTTGAAACTTCAAAAGTAAAAATTCCATCATCCAAAAAAAAAATAACAATTAATGTATTCATGGAAAAGATAATTGGAAGGGCCACAAAAATAAACAAATGCAGTAAAAGCAGCGTAATGTCAGTTCATGCACTGTATTAATGATAATTTTGTTCTTTGTGGCAAGTAATATTACACCATATTTTCTGATACGAATGAAAAGCATTCACATTGATGTGACATCTGCATTCCATCGAGGAAAAGGTGGCCTACAGTAGGTGAAACACGTGCTCCTGATGCATGTCAGGTGGGTAGCAAACAACCAGCTGACAATGTAGTTGTTGTTCCCACAAGTACTGACCAGAGAAAACTAAAATCCCGGCCCCAAGTATCATCTGTTTCTCGACCAGTACCACTCCTGATTCGTTCATTGGTTCCAGTGCATTATCAGTCATCAATCTTCCGTCACCTACCGGTCGCCTAAGAACTCTGGGACGCATTGAAGTTGGCACTACGGAAGCCCCTTCTTCTCCCGCCACAGTCGAGTCATTCCAGTCATCGTCCCGCAGTCGTCCCGGACCTGTGTGTGGGCTTGAAGAAGGGGTCTTCCAAACTGAAATTCAAGGCAAGTATGATCGTGTCATGATCTGTCCCACTCCTGATTCGTCCATTGGTTCTAGCGCTTTACCAACCATCAACTATGCATCGCCCGCCTGTCACCTGAACACTCTGGGACGCATTGAAGTTAGCACTGCGGAAGCCCCTTCTTCTCCCGCCACAGTCGAATTAAACCAGTCATCGTCCTGCAGCCGTCCTGGACCTGTGTGTGGGCTTGGAGAAGGGGTCTTCCAACCCGCATTTCTAGGCAAGTATGTTCGTGTCATCACCAGTTCCGCTCTATGTATTTGTTCGTAGCTTCGCCGATTGCTTGCGGCTTCAGCACCTAATCGATGCTTTCGAAGAGTGGTGCTCAAGAAACTATCTCACGCTGAATGTACAAAAATGTAATATTATCTCATTTCATCGCTAGCTGAAACCAGTGGAATTCAACTATACGATAAATCACCAACTTCTGCAACGTGTGGACAATGCTCGTGACCTAGGAATCACGCTGGACTGCGCCTTAAAATTCAAGCTTCATTACTTCGGCATCGTTGCGAAAGCTAACAGGCAACTCGGGTTCATTTTCAGGATCGCTGACGAGTTTCGCGATCCTGCCTGTATAAAAGCTCTATACTGCTCTCTAGTGCGATCGATTTTGGAATTCAGCTCGGTAGTATGGTGCCCGTATCAAGCAGTTTGGATAGCGAGGATTGAATCTGTTCAAAGGAAATTTGTTCGGTATGCCTTTCGTCACCTTCCTTGGAATGACTCTGTGAACCTTCCGCCGTACAAATATCGTTGTCAACTCCTGGGTGTTGAAACACTAGAAGATAGGCGGACGATTAGTCAGGCCGTGTTAGCAGCGAAAGTACATATTGGTGATATCGGAATCTTGGCTGAACTACAGCTTGCATGACCCAATACGGTTCATGTCTGGGCGTTTCAACGAGTTTTACGATTTTTTCGACTTTAACTGTGCAGCGGAAACCTTTCGTCACCGTATCCAACGCAGACTCCTGAGGAGGTGAGTAGCTGTCCATTTAATGTACACGTGAAAGATTGTGCTACCTGTTTATTTTTTTGTTTCCGGTTCAACTGCATGACGAGGACTTCTACCTGATTGCCATAGGATAACTTTTTTTTATGTTTTTTTTTTCTTTCCTTTATTTAACGTCGGTCTCTGTTCCGCAATCTAGTGCCAATCACCGACGGACATCGATTGCCATCCATTGACGGCAATCAAATGTGCAGGAAGGCAGCTTCCACACCTGCGTAGGATATCGCACCCACTCACAACACACATGGGCCGGAACCAACGACTTTACTTCCCTTCCGAAGGAAGACGTGACCAGAGATTTTTATAACTTTTTTTTTATGTTATAGACTTGATTAATGTTCGTTGTAATTGTATTGTATTATTGTGATTCATGTGTTTCGAAAAGATATGGGGTTTTTACGCCTTTTCTAGGCTTTTCCCAATCAGGCTTCATTTAGACACGTTAAGTCCGATGAAGAAAAACAAATAAAATTTAAAAAAAAATTTTTTTGCTGTTTGTGAGTGTGTGTCAGTCGACCGTTTGGCCAAGATGGCCAATTTTACCAAAGAAGAATACTAAGATGAAACTGTCGGAAGAAAAACTGTCAAATTTAGTGTCCTCTTTCACGGTCCCTTTCATCCAATGAATATATAAATTAATGAATAAATAATGCAAGGTAATTTTGTGGTTTTGCTGCCCCCTCGATGGGGATGAAATTTTGCGCACTTTTTATATGAAAAAAATAACACCAAAATCAGAGATGTCCCATTTTTCAATTACTCGATTAACAACTAATCAATTATTTTTTGTTCGCTGTGCTGTCATTTTTCACCAATGAGAGTGCAGTCAATTTTTAAAATGATCGGTGATGATCCTGTGGAGAGGTTAATGCTTATATCGGCATGATATAACCGATTACAAATATTTTACTTTTTACGATTTATCGATTATTCGAATGAAAATCGGCCATCACTAGATGAATGTGAAACGTCATTTCAAATATAAAGACCGTACATAAATAATGATACAATTTGAAAA